AACCTACATTGTTTTGTTTATATGGTCACCGGAAATGCGGCGGTTGCTTCGATTTTTGCCCCAACGCTGCACACGCATGCCGGCTTTTGGAGCGGGGCCGTGGGAGCCGCCTGCCAGCCCTCCTGACTTTGAACTACGGACTTCACGAGAGGGTTAGTTGCAGTGGGTTCGTTAGGTACTGAAAACAACAAGAACGGGGATAATGGTACAGATAAGCTGAATAGAAGATACTACTTAGGAAGAGATTTTCCACGGTCCTCTCCCGCGGGATTCGCGCTTCAATTTAGGTTCTGCTTCTACTTTATAAGAGTTCACTTAAACAGTAGGGTATAGTACAAAGTCGACGACCGATATTTTCGAATCCACTCAGGTAACATGTATTTTAGTCCATGTTTATTCATTCTACTACCTGGTGGTGACTTACGGGACGCAGCATCGCTAGCAATGAGCATCCTCCGTATTTATGAAAGTAGTTCTGAGTTACTAATAGATGTCATGGTTCTGAGTGCAAGCGGGACCGTAGCGGGTCCTCTTGCTTTCGCTGGTTAACCTAATTCTTAGGTAGGCCTCAAGGCCAACGTTCTAACTGTAATAAAGGAACCGGTATGCAGCGATTTCAAATGAGCTTTACCATCAAAGGAAAATCTTGGCACGATACAGGGATGGTAAAAGCAAAGTCTGCAATGAATTCAAGTCAAGTCTCTACATTTAGTGACGTTAATAAATTGTTTGTGCGGTCCTGTGCTACTGCGAGTCACCTTATTGATAATCAATCACAATTTTTCCGTTTCATAGGCGGTAACGATGGTCGTGGCTGAGTCATACGTTCTTGTATCAAGGGATACGTTGCGATCGCTTGCTATCTGTATGATTTGCGGGCTGGCCTCAAGAACAAGACATGCCCATCCTCCTCTTTTTCCCTTTAGCTCGTAAAATCAATCCTTCTCGATGACTTCTATTATCTGTAATAAAGTTTGCTGCAAAGCGCGTGAAATCATTCTATAAAACTTTTATTTGTCAATATTGTTTTTACGCTAAATTTATTTATAATTAAGTAAATAACTTTTTAAATAGATTTTTGTTTTAAGCAATAGATATAGCTTGTAGTATACATATTGGACGCTCGTCCAAGAAGCGCGTTCTATGGTCTGCTCTCTTTGCGTGTTTGTCGTGATGGTGCTTACTACTGGCATTTTTATTCGAGCTTAAAGCTCTTGTGAATCGTTGGGAGAAACACGTGACTAAGAAAATAGCTATACTTTATAGAAGGGTGTTGAATTATACTATTTTTGCGTTGACCCCTTTTTTTTAAAGCTGATTATTTCTCCTCAGGTCAAGAATGGTTTACTTGCTAGATTCACTTTCTTGAAACCTCATGCTAAAAGTTGCAGAACTAGAGTTTTTCGCAATGAATTTTAAATTGTTTGAAAGCTTAGTAATTGCTTTGCCGGCTGGTTAAGGCTGAAATTCGTACTGGCTAATTTTTTGTCGTCTTCGTTGTTCTCTTTTTTGTAGACAACATCGTTTGACTAAGGTTTGTTTGCAATTTGTTTTTTTGGCGTTACTGCGTTGAGAAACACCTGCATGGAGCTTCCAATGAATTTTTTTAGATATCGAAACAAATGGCAGCTTTGAATCCAAATTGTTCTGGTTATGTATCCCTTCATGCTAGTAAAATGCCGGGATTTTTTTTCAGAAAAAGAGTAGAACGCATTGATTGGAAGCGTTTGGGTAATGATCACTTACTGCATTCAGGTTTTTGCTTTAGCCTCGGTCGACGTTTGTCGGGTGGCTAGTCAGATTGATATTGACGCTTTGCAAGATAACCTCGTTAGTGTCGCTTTCTGTGACATTAACTCAGAAATTGTGAGCACATCTTGTTATGGTAACTTATTTTTGATAGGATACTCGTTACGTGGACACTAATTTTATCAAACTTTTCCAACTAGCTCAACTCCTTATAGAATACCTTCTGGTATGTATATTAGAATATATACTTTCATAGACTACCTTACTTACATTATCTGTTTGCTTCTTAGTATTCACAAGATTACCTTACGAATACTGTCGACAGTTTAAGGCTGGAGAACGAAACAATTAAAAAGGTTTGCTTTTAGTTCTTTTTAAGTTTTAAACGTAATTTAAATAAATTGATCTTTGACGTTTCGGTGTCTACTTTTCCATTGCCACCAGGAGTTTTTACTGTTGATTAAAGGAATTTCACTTTTCACTTCCATTTCTTAAACGTTTTGCTCGTGTTCAATCACATTTGACATTTGCTCTCGAAGTAGGTCAACTTCGCAGAGGGTTTTCCAATGTTTATTCGTATTATTGTGGACGGTATTTAAGATATGCTTCATAGCTTCATTTATGGTCAAAATTTTACAAAATCCCAATGCTTGAAATGTTAACGTTTGTCGCGGTTATACAACCTCTACAGGAAACTGATGTTTTAAAAAAGCGTTTGGAGCAGCAGGCACAACGCTTAACAAGTACACGAAAGGAGTGCCATCGCCGCCGCCTACTTCTTCTTGCTCAACAGCGCCTCATGCATAACGGGCCCCAATCTTACCATCGATGTCCTCACTGCACAAAAGCCTTCATCAATGCCTCCTTCCTCAATGCGCATCTTTTTCGCCGCCACGCGGAGGTAGTCTCGGCTCTTCAGGGCATCAATCTCAATCAGGTCAGCCTTCTCCCGTTGGATAGTGGGACCAATTTTGTTGCTGAAAAGAGCACCAATGAAAAATTACCTATTCTGGTATGTCCCAGCGTGGCAGTTCTCAAAACTTTCTCGCCCTACCTATACATTTCATGATTTTTTCGCCTAAACCCATGTTCTGAATAATTTTAAGGTTAATACTGACACCCTTTTATAATAAACCACTTGAAATTTACCACCGGTATTTCAACTTTTATTCGGAGCGTCGCATTTTATTTTCTCTTACAGACGTCTAACTTGGAGCAGCAGATTCAGGAGGTGTTGAACCACCTCAAGTCGCAGATTCCACCACCGCTACCGCAGCCTCCACCAGCTTTGAGTTCTGCAGTGGTACAGACTGTTGAGGTGAAGGATGCAGTGAGTCCCCGTGCGCCTGCGGGAGTGGAGATTGCATGGCGACAACGGACTGTTGAGTTGGAGCGCCAGCTTGAAGAGGAACGTGATTATCTGCGCCAACTGGAGGAGCGCAATCGTGCTTGGCAGGACTCTCTCACCTTGCAGCATAGGGTCCGTTTATTCGTCATTTCTCGAGGCAATGTCTGTTACAGCTGATTCCCACTGCTTAACAAGCAATATTGAATGACTTAACTTTGTGCTCGTCTACTTTTGAGTATATTTATACATTGAATGTATAGTGCTCACTTTTCTATGCTTCAATTCGCATAATGAAATTCTTTATGGTTCAATAGGTTTGACTTTTGGCCAATACTACCTTTTTTCATAAAAAACGGTTCCCTCATCTCTCTTTGTTGAAAGGGCAATTATTTGTTAGAAACAACACTGATCTCTTTCATACCTTGAGTCGCCATTTCACAGTATCTACCCCCTGCTCTTGCAAACAGAAATGGGTCTGATCTCACTTTTCCTCAAAATATTTTCAGTTATACTGAACAGGCTGTGCTGCATTAAGTACCAAAGTGTTTTATTATGCTTCCCTTAGGAAATGTTCTGTATTGCGCTACGTCACTTGGGTCTCCTTCAAAGTGAAATCGTAGCTTTTCAATTTTTTCATTGGCAGTTTGGCGTTTAGAGACAATTTTTTCCTCAAACTTTATGCTATTTTACTTGAAAATCTAGATGGTATGTTTGACTTATTTTACCTAGACCGATGTTGAAAGGGTCAGAGAAATGTTTGAGGTAGAACTACGAAATCTGAGAGAGGAAAATTTGGAAACTCAAAGGCAATTAATTCAGCTGAGACTAAAAGGAGGTGAGGGTATTTATGCAAAGGCTACGAAACTTTTTCACCCTAATCAAAGCCCTAAATGTCATAGTTTTTTTTATAGCTAATGCCTCAAGTTTCGAAGACGTCGAGGCTGACGTTCCAGAGCAGGTTTGTACCTTCCTGAACTACTATGCTATCGCGGAAATGGAGATTAATTTTGTATTGTTCGCATTTTCCCTTTAGTTAGAACGTCAAGTCAGAAGCCTAGAGGTAACACGCCATTTATTATGTGTACAACTATGTTACTTTCTATTGCAAGACTTAGGCATTCAATAAGTTTTTATCACGAATTCTTTGATAGAATAGAATCATATTAGCTGTTATTCTACCGCTTTTTCATTAGTTCCTTCATGTCTAAGTGAAAGCAAAGGCAGATCAATGCATTATTCCAAGTTGGGCGTCACACTAGTATTGTAGTAACTACAACAAACAGATGTTACCCATGCAATGATGGCCGTTTTGTTGTCTACTCAGAGTTAATCATTGCCGCCTTCAAAATGGCCAAATATTGCTCAAATTTGTGAAGTTTGTAGAGCACTATTCTTCCAGCGATTTTTTTTTGTGAGTGCCTTCGCATTTAAAGGCGGTAAGATCTCCAGTGCCCAAATTGGTTACTGCGTCATCCTCGGAACACTCTCCCGAGACGGCCTTCTTGTTGCCGTCTTCATCCAATCCTTCGGTAACTAAAGCGAAGCGAAATACGAACAATGCAGTTCACTCGGTGAGGCGCAGCTGTCCTACGGTCTCCCGAGGCGTCAGTTGCAGCGGTGGGATCGGGAGTCTGAGCCATATGCTCTATAATATTCCGACTGCGCATGAAAAGCCCTCTGGACGCCAATGCATGAGTAATAGGGAACCCGTCAGTCTCGCGGATGCTTCCGTCCAAGTTGCGCGTAAAGAGGCCATCTCACGATTGGCCACTCACAATCTCACCGTTCCGCAGAATCATAAAGCCTTGCTCACGAATAAGGGTGTAGTAGTGGAGAGTCTAATTGTCCGAACTGAGGATGAAGAAGATCGGGAATCGGATAGAACTCGAAGCATTCATCTGATCCCATTTGCGGTTTCCACACCAAGCTTCTTACCCACGGTTTTAAATGAGGTTCATGTAGTTGCATTCTTGTTAAGTTCAACAATTTCCCTACCTTTATGGTAGTTTTGAAATTGTTACTTCTTGGAAGCAACAAATTCGTGTTTTTTCTTCAATCCAGGCGTCACCAAAAAGAGATAGGTGTCAGTCTGACAACGAGGCCGAATTCGGGAATAGCAGGATCGTGCAATTAGTCGATGAAAGTACTGAAAAGTCCCAGTACGCGAGGGAACGTTCAATCAAATCCCGTTCATATGCGAAATCTAAAAAGATGGATGCTGGAATTTTTCACAGGGCTCTGCAATTGAACGGTAAACTAAACTATATGTAAGTAACCTGTAAACAATTAAGAAATCTCCATTGATGCTTAAAATATGTACTTTTAGGCCCAGAACTCAGAGTTGATACATTGAAGAACATTTCGCACTACAAAGACCAATTGGAAAAGCTTCGTTTTGATCCAGATGCAATGAAGCGCCTGCGCAAAGAAGTGGAAGCCCTTCTGGCGGAGCAGTTGATCGACCACGATGTGGAGGTGGATGTCAGCGGGCTGACGAGAGGCAAATTCAATGAGACGCTGGACATCCTCGGTCAGGAGAGACAGCATTTAACGAGAAAGCATTCCAATTTTGCAGAAATTCGTGCGGTAAGCTATTAATTCAGAGGTTTACACTTATTATAGTCTTTTTATTCCATAATGAGCAACACACTTATTTGCAATGCCTTACCAACTTTTTGAATCCACGGTTCACTGCGATGAAACTAGGATGGTATGGTGTCGCAACTGTCGCGTGTGATAAAGGTGATTGGGAGAGGACAAAAAATTGCGGTCAAACCTGGCACTTTTCTGTTGGTAAAAGACCTTCTAGTAGAGGAATCTCATAATAATTTAAATTTTTAAGAAGATTTATTAAACATTCCGAGAAATTATTGAATCCCATGTTGTTTTGCCAACAACTTGCCAGACGAAACTCGGAAATGGATTTGGCAGTGTTTTAACCTACTCGCGATTTTACCAAAGTTCATAATAGTTACTCGGATTCTATTGATGGGAACGAAAGGAAGTCTCCCATTTGTCATCGACATTTGTATACTTTATGCTCTATTCAAGTCGATAGCGCGTAAAGTCGACCGAATGGCACTGATGGCATTACATTCAAAGCGCGAACGTCACGATTCGGCTCTTAGAAGTGGAAGGAATGGTATTCGTGAAGGTGATGGAGACACGGATGGAGGAGGTTCTCAAAAGAAAGCTCGAGCCCCGCGCATCCCAGACCGCGATACTCTAAGTCGACCACCGAGCGGGAGACCGGCCTCTCTCACTTCGCTTACTCATATCCTCGCACCGATCACGGAGCATCGACGCTTTGCCACTGCTAGTCCTGCTCTACGAAAGGTCAACCCAACCCAATCCAGACAGTCACTCTTTGAGAACACCGAAGATGAGGGTGACGGTGATGATAATTGTGATAGGAGGGTGGCAAAGGCAGAACGGAGAACCGTAGCTCATAGGTAATTTCTACCCCGCATTACTTCAGGTGCTCCTTAAGCTATCTCTAACCTGACTGAAACGCTGATTCCAATAGCATAGGGGTTGACAAGAAGTCTTTGTAAATTACTGTTGAACGATTAAGCATAGGAAGTGTTGTCTAATGCACACAGTACTCCATATTTTCATCGTCTCTGTTTTACCTTGCCTTTGAACTTAATAAAGGGACTTAACTATCATATTTCTCACTCCCGTCCAACCGTCTCTGGCTAGCATCACCTTCATTACAGGCACGGAGTTTGCACCATTCTATGCACAATGCACAGGTGATTGTCACATTTGAGTCAAAATTAACTTTCCCTTATTAAGCGTAAACCCAATATGTCTGCCCGCGGAAAAAATGGTTACGATGTTGAAGGATAGAAGGTCTTTCCATACCAATTCACGTATGAATTGGAAGTTGACTCGTTATTCAAAGTCAAGCAATACTACTTATGTGCTGAAAATGCAAGGCGAAAAGCTATGTCTTGAAGTGATTGGCATTTGAAACATTTAGTGTTGAATCCCTTATTAATGTTGTTTTGAACGGGTTCCACTAAGCTGTTTTATGTCACTTGCCTGTCGCAAACTCCAAGGAGCATTAAATGTCATCAAAAAAAAATCAGTTCAAGGTTACGGTAGTCAGCTGCAAGATGAAACCGGTGTCTATTATTCCCCAAACTGTGGTTCACTCAAGTTTCCCTATTATGAGTCTCACAGCCTGCGTGTATGCGGCAATCTGCGGCATGAATACTTCCACTACCAACACCACTCCGCTGCCATCGACGGCCATTGTCTCGGGTGCTTCTACCAAACTCGCTGTTAAAATTTGCCTGAGATTTAATTCAGAAGATAGGGATGAGACTTAAAAGATTTTAATGTAAAATCACCCTCAGATTCTTCTGCTACTTATTGGTTTGTTATGCAGTTCGCAGTTGGGGCGTTAGCATCACTCCTTACGATATACATATGTTTAAAGTAGAACTTTTTGTAATCGAGAGATTTTATGCTGCTAATAAAGAAGTCCCGCTTAGCTGGGACCGATCTTACAAATGGAAGGAGTTGGAGGGTTATACTGGTCGCTGGATCGGTAGAAAGGACAAAGCCATTAGGCAGTATGCTCTACAGGTTCTTACGGATATCTAGGTAGTTTTGACGAGTCGCTGTTAATACTTGGCACTTTCTCCACCCAAAAAGGATGAGAAAGGCAAGTTACGCGCACCAATAATCAGAACATCTAATAATTGAGGTGCCTTAGAAAAGGATTTGGTTGGAGAACAATGTGTTGAAACTATTGCGATTCGACTTATCTTTCCTTCTCGGGAAGTACATACATTCTGTTTAATACTTCATTCCGCATCAAACTTTTTATCATTAATAGTTTTCTCCTTTCATCATTGGTTTTGTCTTCTATTTCCTTCTATGTAACTAAACTAAATCTTG